AGCTTTCTGAAATTGTTAAACTGTTCCCAAAAAAATCATTTATTATGTTCTATACTTTGCGGAATTTCGGGAAGGGTAAGTAGTTTAAGATTTGCGTGGTGTTTACCAATGGGAGAGTCATTGTCGAGTAGGAGGCGTGCTGTTTTCACCCAACCCTTCGAGGCTGCACAGTCCAGGGGGGTCCACTGCTGGAAGTTGCGAGCCTGCACATCCGCCTGGTAGTTGATCAACACTTCGCTCACCTGAAAAGGTTTTCTACTAACATCCGCCTTATGTGGCGAACGTAAGCAAATGTTGTTCTACCCGGATGCACTCAAACAGTTATTGTTCGATTCGGAAAAGCCAAAAAATGTTCAGAATTATAACACTACGATGAACACATTTGACCTTCAACCTTAAAACGTAGAATTGCACTTCACGCTTATAAAATACGCCAAACTCTTTATACCGTGTAACAGCGGGGGACACTGAGACATTATCTCTAATCCCGAAAGAGTTACGTTGGTGGTCAGACTAAATTGACCGATCAAAGGACTACGCAACTTCCCCCTTAGTGTATGCTCTTTTCGGCTATCCTCCTGTGTTTCTAGCCAGTTCAGCAAATAAGTAAACCCTTGAAACAAAAAAACGAAAGCAATTTACAATGCACTTAATGAGGTATCTACTATTTAACAACTTCTAAAATGAAGCCCGCGTTTCGTTTCGCTCAATCGCTTCGTTAACTTTATCGTCAACCCTCGCTTGACGCCATTCCAATCTCATCTACTCCAGCAGCGCAACTCGCTCACACATCACTAATTCATACCAGTACTAAACTTGGGTCAAAATCAGCTAAACTATTTAACTAACAACTGTGAGACACATCTAGCCTCGCTTCAAGCAATAGCGTCGTCCACGGACCAACTACTCTTCTCGGCTGGCTCAATCGTTCTCTCTCTAATTGAGAACCAACCGTTCTTTCTGTTAGCGCATGTGTTCTCTTACTCTAAGAACCAACTATTCGACTCACTGGCAATATCTTCTCTAACTCTCGAGAGCTCTCCGGTACCCTCCAGTTCCTTATTTTTATTTATATTTAGTTTTAGTTAAGTCATTGAGTAAACCTAGCATGGTTTGGAGGTTGAGTTGAACTCGAGAGCTGAAATTCACGGTGGTCAAAAATTAAATGAATACAGTCGTATGGCTTTTGTTTGTTTGGTCGAAGTGTGACACCTTAAGCGGATGCCAATCCATATCAGTCCTGGCATTCGCTGAATAATTCATTCGCACATGTTTTTGACTACGTCCATCCCCCTATCACGTACCAAGTTTGATTTCTTTTATCAATCTTTTCACGCTTATTAGATCCTCAGTATGCAGAAGGTGTCACAATTCGACCAAACAAACAAAAGCCATACGACTCTATTCATTTAATTCTTGACCACCGTGAATTTCAGCTCTCGAGTTCAACTCAACCTCCAAACCATGCTCAGTTTACTCAGTGACCCTCCCAAGGTCTTTATTTAATTATCCCATTAACGTTTCGACCTCCCAACGGTAGGGGAGACCATTTTCATGGGTAGCTAATTCATTCCAAGCATCTAAATTTCTGTACTCTATTTCAATCCCGACGTTCTAGTTATCGTTTTCATGGGAACGTAGTTTGTCTATTAGGGGTCAATCTAGGCCAAAAAGTCACCTCCATTGAGCCAAGTAAAATCCCCTGTAGTGAGCCAAGTAAATTAATTTGACTACTAAAAGGTTGGAATATAAAACTATATCTCTATCAGCTTCTGCTTCAGTTCCCATTAAGCAAGTTTACTCCCAGTTATTAGTAAGTTGATCAATTTTCATTTCCAAAAGGTTGAGGCTGGAAAATACGTCTTTTTGCGGTGTTAATTTCGGGTTTTCTATGCAATTTTGGGGTCAAAAAGCCCAAAGGTCAACTTAAGGCTACCCAGGGGTCACCCGGGGTCAAAATTCTTTGGACATGTTCAGGGGTCCTAACTTCCAAGTTTTCTACATATTCTACGAATACTTTCCAATATATCCCATTTCTAAGGTCCACTGTCACTTTTCCCGGAAAAAGGCTATTAACAACGGAAGGAGTCGCCGGAGGGGTTTTACTCACCCAGTTTTTCTCCTGGGTCCGTATCTTATGTCTTTTGCCGCAAAAAAAATCAAGATGACCTCGCTCATGATTTTGCGTTTTCTTCAAGTGCTAATAGCTTCTGATTCAACCCTAGGAAATGGTTCAAATTATAACACAAGATGCATCTTACCATTACACATCATCCCTTCAAAATTTGGCTCCCCGCTTTCGTTGAGGCCGAGAAACGATTTCCAAAAGATAGGGGTGGGTTATTTTTTAACCCTATGGGTGGGTTGTTTTTTAATAAAACTGGAAGTGGTTGTCCTGGGTTTCTGGGGTTCGAAATTTAAGCTTCCCTCAACTAGGCCGACAACATGCTAAAATTGAGCCAAGTACTATCTCTAGTTGCCCAGTTCTAATAGGGCCATTTAAACTTCCGGGAACCGTTATCAGTCTGAGGATTCCCATTTTTCGTATGCTCGGACCAAATCGTCTCTAGTAACCGTCCTCCGACTTTCATAACATTATCTTTCTTAAATCCAGTTTGGGGAGGGGTAGGAGGGGGGGGGGGCTGGGCTTCGTCGAATTTGTTGTTTTTCCATTCTTTGGCATAAAAATGACAAATTATTCCAAATGTTAACTATTTTGAGCTGGAACAATTGTTTGCTGTACTACTTAACTTAATGACTAGTCAATCTTGCGCTCAGGTTACTATAAAGTGTTATACAGTAAAATTGCCAATTCCTCAAGTGCTAAAAAGAACTAATTCAACTTTGTGAGATATTATCTTGGGTTTCTTTCTTCGTCTTGAAGGAAAACTCAATTTTTTATTTTTAAAAAGCAGTCGTACCAGCTACAAAAAAATCATACCATACAAGTTTTCAGAAAGCAAACTTATACAAATTATACAAAAACATCAGGAATACAAAGTGATATATAACATTGTCGAAGCTTTCAGTTCAGAAACAAAGCAAAATCAGCAGCTGAAAACCATTTAGTTTTTTGGTTGCCTTTCCAAATGGGATATATCTGAAAGCAAAAAAGCTTTAATTACTCTGGAAAAAAGTTGCATTACAGAAATTCAAATTTTACGACCAAAAATTTTTTCTTCGGTAACTTTGTCTTAAGAAGATCATTTTTTCCTGAAAAACTTCTAAACCGCCTTTCTGTAAATAGTCAAACGCAAGTTAGGCCAAAACACTTCCGAGTTGATCATCTTTTTTTAAACTATTTTTTTTTGCAACGAAAGTCTTGTTTCTGAAAATTGTGATATGCAGTCCCGTTATTTTACAGTTGAAAACATGGAACTGTCTCTATGCACTTTTTCTACACACCCTAGTTGACCTCCATACAACGAAAACGCTTATCATACCATTCCATACAACAAAAGTCCTTGTCAGACAATTCAATACATCAAGTGTAAGGAGAAAATGCTTCTCATACAATTTTCGTACATTTTCTAAAACCAATAGAAATTAAAAATTAAACAATTTCTGGGGCTTTTTGAGAACAGTTGAACAGACTGGTAACAGAAAAAAAACGGCTTTAATTTTGTTTTGAAAATTATGCTCACTATACAGTTTCCATATATAAAAATTGTATTACAAGCATTTTCGCCATAGATAATAATTTTTTCAAAAGGTTTTTGAAAACCGGTCGTTGGAAACTTCAAATGAGTTGATACCAGTTTCTCAACAAATGAGAGCAAACTGCCACTGAATATGAAAAAAAAAACAATTTGGAAAAATTTTATGACCTTGTATAAAAATGCCGTTCTTGAAATACCGTACTCGAGTTACACAGGAACTTGGGTTTCAGCTTCTCTCTATATATTTGACCAATTTTCCCAGAGTTATGTCAATGCAAAAGTAACACTCTAAGCAGAAATTCAAGAATAAAAAATAAAAAGGGAATAAAAGTTTTCCATTAATCGCTGAAAGTATAGAAATCACCAAACTATCTTGGTTCCGAAATGTTGCGGAACCCAACGCAAATTATGCAAACTCCAACGCCAATGTAAGCGGAATCGAAACCACTACCAAAATACAGGAGCCTGGCATCGTGAAGCGTCTTTGTATGCCGAGTTGAGCTTCAAGACACACGTCCAAAACTATTCTGAATTGAACATCTCGAAATGCGTTGAACATATTTCATATGCTTACAGTACTTACTCAAAAACAACGGCTAAAGTTTTTAAAGCGTACATCTAGCCAATGAAATAATATGCTGTACTAATATATGGAACTGCCAGCAATAGTGAACTTCGGGTTAAAACTAAAATAAAACTGTAAGTTAAGGTTGAAAAAGAACAAATTCTGATACCTCACAATTGCTTCAGTTTGCGAAAAATTGACCGTCTGTGAAAAAAAATCAAGTTTAAACTCTCTTACGTTAGGTAATTACAAGTCTAGGAATGTCTGAAACTGATAATAAAACAAGAAAGAGTCACCACTTGTGTCTACGTACCGATGAAGCAATCAGCAATCAAGATTTTCCAGATTCATTCCCAAAAGTAAATCCAAACAAAAAATACAGGAAAATTGTCTACCCTTAACAGAAAAAACTCAAAGACAGGGAAGGTGTTCGATCTCTGTGAGGTATTTCTACGCGTTAAGCCAACGTCTACTCTAGGGATTAATGATCTTTCATACATTCAAGTAAACTCAGTTTTCCCTTACGTGCGCGATCTATTAATTCGTGATTTCAATTTTTATTAAACAACATTTTTGGTTGTGTGAAATCAAACTGTAATGTAAATTGTTTCCTCATGAAGACGCTATTCGTTAGGCAGCAAATCTCCAAGGCGAGCCTATTTGGATAAAGTGTTTTCTCATGAACACGCTATTCGTTAGGCAGCAAACTTCCAAGGCGAGTCTATTTGGATAAATTGTTTCCTCATGAAGACGCTATTCGTTAGGCAGCAAACTTCCAAGGCGAGCCTATTTGGTAAAATTGTTTCCTCATGAAGACGCTATTCGTTAGGCAGCAAACTTCCAAGGCGAGCCTATTTGGATAAATTGTTTCATCATGAAGACGCTATTCGTTCGTTAGGCAGCAAACTTCCAAGGCGAGCCAATTTGGTAAAATTGTTTCCTCATGAAGACGCTATTCGTTAGGCAGCAAGCTTCCAAGGCGAGCCTATTTGGATAAAGTGTTTTCTCATGAACACGCTATTCGTTAGGCAGCAAACTTCCAAGGCGAGTCTATTTGGATAAATTGTTTCCTCATGAAGACGCTAGTCGTTAGGCAGCAAACTTCCAAGGCGAGCCTATTTGGATAAATTGTTTCATCATGAAGACGCTATTCGTTAGGCAGCAAACCTCCAAGGCGAGCCTATTTGGATAAAGTGTTTTCTCATGAACACGCTATTCGTTAGGCAGCAAACTTCCAAGGCGAGTCTATTTGGATAAATTGTTTCCTCATGAAGACGCTATTCGTTAGGCAGCAAACTTCCAAGGCGAGCCTATTTGGATAAATTGTTTCATCATGAAGACGCTATTCGTTAGGCAGCAAACTTCCAAGGCGAGCCAATTTGGTAAAATTGTTTCCTCATGAAGACGCTATTCGTTAGGCAGCAAACTTCCAAGGCGAGCCTATTTGGATAAATTGTTTCTTCATGAAGACGCTATTCTTTAGGCAGCAAACTTCCAAGGCAAGCCTATTTGGATAAATTGTTTCCTCATGAAGATGCTATTCGTTAGGCAGCAAACTTCCAAGGCGAGCCTATTTGGTAAAATTGTTTCCTCATGAAGACGCCATTCGTTAGGCAGCAAACTTCCAAGGCGAGTGTATTTGGATAAATTGTTTCCTCATGAAGACGCTATTCGTTAGGCAGCAAACTTCCAAGGCGAGTGTATTTGGATAAATTGTTTCCTCATGAGGACGCTATTCGTTAGGCAGCAAACTTCCAAGGCGAGTGTATTTGGGTAAATCGTTTCCTCATGAAGACGCTATTCGTTAGGCAGCAAACTTCCAAGGCAAGCCTTTTTGGTAAAATTGTTTCCTCATGAAGACGCTATTCGTTAGGCAGCAAACTTCCAAGGCGAGCCTATTTGGATAAATTGTTTCCTCATGAAGACGATATTCGTTAGGCAGCTAACTTCCAAGTCGAGCCTATTTGGTAAATTGTTTCCTCATGAAGACGCTATTCGTTAGGCAGCAAACTTCCAAGGCGAGCCTATTTGGATAAATTGTTTATACGAAACTGAATGTTCACTCTTTGAAAACAAATATGCGCTTACCTTGACATGGCCTTCAATGAATCGTGTCGCTTGCCTTGACATGACCTTCAATGGATTGTGTCGCTTACCTTGACATGACTTTCAATGATCGTGTCGCTTACCTTGAATGACTTTAAAAATATCGTGCGTCGCTTGCCTTGACATGACCTTCAATGAATCGTGTCGCTTGCCTTGACATGACCTTCAATCGATCGTATCGCTGGCCTTGACATGACCTTCGATGGATCGTGTCGCTTACCTTCACAAGACTTTCAAGGGATCATTTCGCTTACCTTGACATGACTTTCAATGATCGTGTCGCTTACCTTGAATGACTTTCAATATATCGTGCCACTTACCTTGTCATGACTCTCAATGGATCGTGTCGCTTACCTTGACATGGCCTTCAATGAATCGTGTCGCTTGCCTTGACATGACCTTCAATGGATTGTGTCGCTTACCTTGACATGACTTTCAATGATCGTGTCGCTTACCTTGAATGACTTTAAAAATATCGTGCGTCGCTTGCCTTGACATGACCTTCAATGAATCGTGTCGCTTGCCTTGACATGACCTTCAATCGATCGTATCGCTGGCCTTGACATGACCTTCGATGGATCGTGTCGCTTACCTTCACAAGACTTTCAAGGGATCATTTCGCTTACCTTGACATGACTTTCAATGATCGTGTCGCTTACCTTGAATGACTTTCAATATATCGTGCATCGCTTGCCTTGACATGAACTTCAATGGATCGTGTCGCTTGCCTTGACATGATCTTCAATCGATCGTATCGCTGGCCTTGATATGACCTTCGATGGATCGTGTCGCTTACCTTGACATGACTTTAAAGGGATCATGTCGCTTACCTTGACTTGACCTTCAATGGATCGTGTCGCTTGCCTTGACATGATTTCAAGGGATTGTGTCGCTTACCTTGACAAAACCTTCAAGGGATCATGTCGCTTACCCTGACTTGACCTTCAATGCATTGTATCCCTTACCATGACATGACTTCCAGTGATTGTGTCGCTTGCCTTGACATAGCCTTCAATGGATTGTGTCGCTTGCCTTGACATGACCTTCAATGGATTGTGTCGCTTACCTTGACATGACTTTCAATGATCGTGTTGCTTACCTTGAATGACTTTCAATATATCGTGCGTCGGTTGCCTTGACATGAACTTCAATGGATTGTGTCGCTTGCCTTGACATGACCTTCAATCGATCGTATTGCTGGCCTTGACATGACCTTCGATGGATCGTGTCGCTTACATTGACATGGTTTCAAGGGATTGTGTCGCTTACCTTGACAAAACCTTCAAGGGATCATGTCGCTTACCCTGACTTGACCTTCAATGGATTGTGTCACTTATCTTGACATGACCTTTAATGGATTGTGTCGCTTAACTCGACAAGAACTTCAAGGGATCATTTCGCCTACCTTGACTTAACCTTAATTGGATCGTGTTGCTTACCTTGACATGCCCTTCAGATGATCATGTCGCTTACGTTGACATGACCTTCAATGGATCGTGTCGCTTACCTTGACCTGACCTTCAATGGATTGTGTCACTTACCTTGACAAAACCTTCAAGGGACCATTTCGCTTACCTTGACTTAACCTTAAATGGATCGTGTCGCTTACCTTGACATGACCTTCAGAGGATCATGTCGCTTACCTTGATCTGACCTTCAATGGATTGTGTCACTTACCTTGACAAAACCTTCAAGGGACCATTTCGCTTACCTTGACTTAACCTTAACTGGATCGTGTCGCCTACCTTGACATGACCTTCAGAGGATCATGTCGCTTACCTTGACTTGACAATCAAGGGATCGTGTCGCTCACCTGGAGTTAACCTTCAATAGATCGTGTTGCTTATCTTTACATGACCTTCAATGGATCTTGTCGCTAATTGACATGACCTTCAATGGATCGTGTCGCTTACCTTGACATGACCTTCACTGGATCGTGTTGCTTACCTTGACTTGACCTTCAATAGATCGTGTCGCTTATCTTTACGTGACCTTCAATGGATCGTGTCGCTTACCTTGACATGACCTTCAATGGATCGTGTCGTTAATTGAAATGACCTTCAATGGATTGTGTTGCTAATTGACATCACCTTCACTGGATCATGTCGCTTACCTTGACTTGACCTTGAATGGATCGTGTGGGTTACCTTGACTTGTTTCACTGGATCGTGTCGCTTACCTTCACATGCCCTTCACTGGATCGTGTCGCTTACCTTGAGATGACCTTCAATGGATCGTGTCGCTAGTTGACATGACTTTCAATGGATTGTGTGGCTTACCTTGAGATGACCTTCAATGGATCGTGTCGCTTACCTTGACATGACCTTCAAGGGATTGTGACGCTTACCTTGACATAACCTTCAATGGATTGTGTCGCTTACCTTGACATGACCTTCAAGGGATCGTGTCGCTCACCTTGACCTAAACTTCAATAGATCGTGTCGCTTATCTTTACATGACCTTCAAGGGATCGTGCCACTTACCTTAACATGACCTTCACTGGATTGTGTAGCTTACCTGGAAATGACCTTCAATGGATCGTTTCGCTAGTTGACATAACCTTCAATGGATCGTGTCGCTTACCTTGAGATGACCTTAAATGGATCCTGTCGCTTACCTTGAGATGACCTTCAATGGATCGTGTCGCTAGTAGACATGACTTTCAATGGATCGTGTGGCTTACCTTGAGATGACCTTCAATGGATCGTGTCGCTTACCTTGACATGACCTTCAAGGGATCGTGTCGCTCACCTTGACCTAAACTTCAATAGATCGTGTCGCTTATTTTTACATGACCTTCAAGGGATCGTGTCGCTCATCTTGACCTAAACTTCAATAGATCGTGTCGCTTATCTTTACATAACCTTCAAGGGATCGTGCCATTTACCTTAACATGACCTTCACTGGATTGTGTAGCTTACCTGGAAATGACCTTCAATGGATCGTTTCGCTAGTTGACATAACCTTCAATGGATCGTGTCGCTTAGCTTGAGATGACCTTAAATGGATCCTGTCGCTTACCTGGAAATGACCTTCAATGGATCGTTTCGCTAGTTGACATAACCTTCAATGGATCGTGTCGCTTACCTTGAGATGACCTTAAATGGATCCTGTCGCTTACCTTGAGATGACCTTCAATGGATCGTGTCGCTAGTTGACATGACTTTCAATGGATCGTGTGGCTTACCTTGAGATGACCTTCAATGGATCGTGTCGCTTACCTTGACATGACCTTCAAGAGATCGTGTCGCTCACCTTGACCTAAACTTCAATAGATCGTGTCGCTTATCTTTACATGACCTTCAAGGGATCGTGTCGCTCACCTTGACCTAAACTTCAATAGATCGTGTCGCTTATCTTTACATGACCTTCAAGGGATCGTGCCATTTACCTTAACATGACCTTCACTGGATTGTGTAGCTTACCTGGAAATGACCTTCAATGGACCGTTTCGCTAGTTGACATAACCTTCAATGGATCGTGTCGCTTACCTTGAGATGACCTTAAATGGATCCTGTCACTTACCTTGACATGACCTTCAAGGGATTGTGTCACTTACCTGAACATGAGCTTCACAAGATCGTGTGGCATACCTTGATATGACTTTCAATAGATCGTGTCGCTAGTTGACATATTCTTCAATGGATTGTGTAGCTTACCATGACATGACCTTCAATGGATCGTGTCGTTAATTGACATGACCTTCAATGGATCGTGTCGCTTACCTTGAGATGACCTTAAATGGATCCTGTCGCTTACCTTGACATGACCTTCAAGGGATTGTGTCACTTACCTGAACATGAGCTTCACAAGATCGTGTGGCATACCTTGATATGACTTTCAATAGATCGTGTCGCTAGTTGACATATTCTTCAATGGATTGTGTCGCTACCTTGAGATGACCTTCAATGGACCGTGTCGCTTACCTTAACATGACGATCAAGGGATCGTGTCGCTCACCTTGATCTAACCTTCAATAGCTTATCTTTACGTGACCTTCACTGGATCTTGTAGCTTACCTTGACATAACCTTGACATAACCTTGACATAACCTTGACATAACCTTGACATAACCTTGACATAACCTTCAATGGCTCGTGTCGTTAACTGAAATGACCTTCAATGGATCGTGTCGCTAATTGACATGACCTTCACTGGATCGTGTCGCTTACCCACACATGCCCTTCGCTGGATCGTGTCGCTTACCTTGAGATGACCTTCAATGGACCGTGTCACTTATCTTGACATGACCTTCAAGGGATCGTGTCGCTTACCTTGGCATGAAGTTCAAGGGATCGTGTCACTTACCTTGACATAACCTTCAATGGATCGTGTCGCTTACCTTGACATGACCTTCAAGGGATTGTGTCACTTAGCTTAACATGACCTTCACTAGATCGTGTCGCTTAACATGACATGACCTTCAATGGATCGTGTCGCTAGTTGACATAACCTTCAATGGATTGTGTAGCTTACCTTGAGATGACCTTCAATAGATCGTATCGCTAGTTGACATAACCTTCAATGGGTTCTGTCGCTTGCCTTGACATGACCTACAATTGATCATGTCGCTAGTTGACATAACCTTCAATGGATCTTGTAGCTTACCATGACATGACCTTCAATGGATCGTGTCGCTTGTTGACATAACATAACCTTCACTGGATCGTGTCGCTTACCTTGAGATGACCTTCAATGGACCGTGTCACTTATCTTGACATGACCTTCAAGGGATCGTGTCGCTCACCTTGACCTAACCTTCAATAGATCGTGTCGCTTACCTTGACTTAACCTTCAATGGATCGTGTCGCTTACCTTGGCATGACCTTCACTAGATCGTGTCGCTTAACATGACATGACCTTCAATGGATCGTGTCGCTAGTTGACATAACCTTCAATGGATCGTGTAGCTTACCTTGAGATGACCTTCAATAGATCGTGTCGCTAGTTGACATAACCTTCAATGGGTTGTGTCGCTTGCCTTGACATGACCTTCAATTGATCGTGTCGCTAGTTGACATAACCTTCAATGGATCTTGTAGCTTACCTTGAGATGACCTTCAATGGACCGTGTCACTTATCTTGACATGACCTTCAAGGGATCGTGTCACTTACCTTGACATAACCTTCAATGGATCGTGTCGCTTACCTTGGCATGACCTTCAAGGGATCGTGTCACTTAGTTTAACATGACCTTCACTAGATCGTGTCGCTTAACATGACATGACCTTCAATGGATCGTGTCGCTAGTTGAAATAACCTTCAATGGATCGTGTAGCTTACCTTGAGATGACCTTCAATAGATCGTGTCGCTAGTTGACATAACCTTCAATGGGTTGTGTCGCTTGCCTTGACATGACCTTCAATTGATCGTGTCGCTAGTTGACATAACCTTCAATGGATCTTGTAGCTTACCATGACATGACCTTCAATGGATCGTGTCGCTTGTTGACATAACATAACCTTCAATGGATCGTGTCGCTTACCTTGAGATGACCTTCATTGGATCGTGTCGCTTACCTTGACATGACTTTCAAGGGATCGTGTCGCTTACCTTGACATAACCTCAAGGGATCGTGTCGCTTACCTTGACATAACCTTCAAGGGATCGTGTCACTTACCTTAACATGACCTTCACTAGATAGTGTGGCTTACCTTGACATGACCTTCAATGGATCGTGTCGCTAGTTATGACAAAACCTTCAATGGATCGTGTCGCTTACCTTGAGATGACTTTCAATGGATCATGTCGCTTACCTTGACATGACCTTCAATGGATCGTGTCGCTTGTTGAAATAACAAAACCTTCAATGGATCGTGTCGCTAGTTGACATAACCTTCAATGGATCTTGTAGCTTACCATGACATGACCTTCAATGGATCTTGTAGCTTACCTTGAGATGACCTTCAATGGACCGTGTCACTTATCTTGACATGACCTTCAAGGGATCGTGTCACTTACCTTGACATAACCTTCAATGGATCGTGTCGCTTACCTTGGCATGACCTTCAAGGGATCGTGTCACTTAGTTTAACATGACCTTCACTAGATCGTGTCGCTTAACATGACATGACCTTCAATGGATCGTGTCGCTAGTTGAAATAACCTTCAATGGATCGTGTAGCTTACCTTGAGATGACCTTCAATAGATCGTGTCGCTAGTTGACATAACCTTCAATGGGTTGTGTCGCTTGCCTTGACATGACCTTCAATTGATCGTGTCGCTAGTTGACATAACCTTCAATGGATCTTGTAGCTTACCATGACATGACCTTCAATGGATCGTGTCGCTTGTTGACATAACATAACCTTCAATGGATCGTGTCGCTTACCTTGAGATGACCTTCATTGGATCGTGTCGCTTACCTTGACATGACTTTCAAGGGATCGTGTCGCTTACCTTGACATAACCTCAAGGGATCGTGTCGCTTACCTTGACATAACCTTCAAGGGATCGTGTCACTTACCTTAACATGACCTTCACTAGATAGTGTGGCTTACCTTGACATGACCTTCAATGGATCGTGTCGCTAGTTATGACAAAACCTTCAATGGATCGTGTCGCTTACCTTGAGATGACTTTCAATGGATCATGTCGCTTACCTTGACATGACCTTCAATGGATCGTGTCGCTTGTTGAAATAACAAAACCTTCAATGGATCGTGTCGCTAGTTGACATAACCTTCAATGGATCTTGTAGCTTACCATGACATGACCTTCAATGGATCGTGTCGCTTGTTGACATAACATAACCTTCAATGGATCGTGTCGCTTACCTTGAGATGACCTTCATTGGATCGTGTCGCTTACCTTGACATGACTTTCAAGGGATCGTGTCGCTTACCTTGACATAACCTTCAAGGGATCGTGTCGCTTACCTTGACATAACCTTCAAGGGATCGTGTCACTTACCTTAACATGACCTTCACTAGATAGTGTGGCTTACCTTGACATGACCTTCAATGGATCGTGTCGCTTACCTTGAGATGACTTTCAATGGATCATGTCGCTTACCTTGACATGACCTTCAATGGCCGCAATGTGAAGTGAAGTGTTGGAGTCTTCGTCTTCGTCTTTGACCAGATCACAGTCCAGTTTGCAGATCCAGGCCACCACTCTCGTGCGCCCATATTTGGCAGCCAGATGCAGAGGAGTCTGCTCGTCCTCATTCTTCAGTTTCAAGTCACATCGGTGTCGATGCAGCACCTCAAGAACAAAAGAGAGTTAGAAAAAAAGAAAATTGTTTTCGGCACCGGTTAGAAAATTCAATTTTACTGTAGACAAAACTTATGAAGAATTAAGTATCGTTTTTTGACTTTTTCATCAGTTTTTGAGTGTTCGTAAATTTTGTTTTGTTAACGTTTTTATGCCGAACTTTTAGTTTTTCTGCACGTATGCTGAACTTTTCATTTCCGTACATATGCTGAAAATTTATTTTCCATTCATATGATGAACTTTTCTGGAGGTGGTTCTATATCTGTGGGCTATTCTCATTCGCGAATGGTCGAATGCTCGAAAATTCTCAACAAATCAATGCCCTGCAAAATGTTCAACTTTTAAGCTTTTTTCCACTGAATTTATCGCCTAATTCTTTCCAATTTTTGAATACTGAGCTCCGATTGGTTGAAAAACTGTTAGCGCGTTTTGTCATTTGCACATGAGTGATCCCCCCCCCCCCTTCTATGTGTCTAGTACTGCACCTGGAGTATCTCGAGACTTCCATTTCTGGCTGCCAGGTGGGCGGGGGAGTTTCCGAAGTTGTCTCTGTCGTTGATGAGGTCTAGCACGTCCTCTTCAGCCAACATCTTCAGCAGCTCCTCAAGGTCCGACTAGAACAACCAACACAATCATATCCTCAGTTAAACTAAAACTGAAAAAATATAAACTAGAAGAAGGTTGAAGAGGTTGGAAGAATTGAATAAAATTTTATCAGTAATATTTATAAAAAATTATAAATTAATTCCAAGTGAGGTGGCATTATACATACAAAATTAGACATACGCGATTTGCTCTAAAAATCATCACTTGATAGAGCACTAGAAGTCTAGCGTCAGGCTTGTTTTGAGTGAGAATTAAAATCCGTTGTTTTAGGGATAAAAATTTGAACTTGAATTCAGTCGAATAATCAAAAATATACGTACAGTTAAAAAAAAACATATTGAAAATCACATTCGACAAGACTCAAAAGAGCTGATATTTAAAACATAAAAATCAAACCAAAATTAAAAAATTGTCGTTGAACTTACGCGGCTGTTTTTCCTGCCCTTTTCTCTCAATTTTTGAAAAAATTTTAAAAGTTGTAGAATCGGTTAACCTAAAATCTAACAAATTGAATACGAAGAAACAAGAAATGTTTTTTGAATGCTATAAGCGATTCTCGGGAGTGGACAACCGCCACAGCCACTAACTCCGCTACTTGATGCTGCTACTAACTCCGCCGCTACTTCTGTCGTTTTACTTCAATAAGGGCAACTAGACAGTGTGAAGTAAAAAGTTCATATTTAAATGTAGAAACAAAATATAAATCGAGTTAATCGATCCCCCTCCCCCTTATCCATCGTGATATCATACGGCCCAATTGCTTTGGGATGGGGAAGATATTATCTTGGTCAAAAAAGTTTTTGGTCAAAAAAATGTGGAAAAAAATTTGCGGAAATAGTTTTGGGACCTTGCGGAGTGAGTCGACAGCCCAGTGGAGAAGGTTCTTCTGGTCGAAGTCGGTCACTTTGATGTCAGCCCCACTCTCCACCAGCAGTTTGCTCACAGTCACGTGACCATGACTCACCGCCAGGAGAAGAGGGGTGAAGCCGTCTTTCTCCTGCATGTCTATTCCCTCACGCTTACCCCTCAAACACACAAACATACAACAAAAACTAAAACTTTGAAAAATTTATTCCCAAAAACTGCAAATACAAAAAACTCTAACGTTTTAAAAAAATAATTCCAAAAAACTGATTAAATTTTTCTAAACAAATTATATAAAAATACAATACTATCCCTGCACTTATTCTGATAATGCAATGGTGTAAGTGTATTTATTGTTGAAAGAGTGACTATACTGACTTGTTGAGTAGAAAAGCGGCACAGCTGACTCTGTTGAACATGACTGCTCTGTGCAGGGGAGTCTGCAGGTCTCTGTTAGTCACATTGATTACCTTCTGCTCACTCTTAGTCTCCACAAGGGCTGAAAACAACAAAACAGTCCACATTTTCAAACAATACAGTTTAAAAAACACTTTGAAAACAATAGGGGTACAAAGTTGTCCACCCTTTGTATTATTTTGAGTTATCTATCATTTGAGTTATTTATCCGTTTTTGGCTGATTGACGCTTACAACTTTCTAAAGGCACCTTCGTCGCCAATATAGTAATTTTAAGGAGGGTGCACACGCCAACAAAACGCAATTTTTTGGTCAAAAATTTCCAAAAAGTGCTTAAAAACGGTTTGTGTGCTTTTTTGGTTTGTTTTTCAAAATTTCACCTACGGCGCCAGAGTTTGGCCAGAACAAGGTCTTTTTAGTGCTTTGGGAGAACTCGGATTATCAATTTAGTCAACCATTGCTTGAAAATCGAAAGTTTTTGACAATTTTTTAAAAATCCGCCCACCCTTGGGAAAATTCCTAGATCCGCCCATGGAAGTACCCAAACCGGGATACCATCCTCGCTGCCCAAGTACCAAAATAAGGGAGTGTTAATGGAGCCGAACACTAGGGAGCTAATATACAAATTATATGCACATGTTTCAGGTTCTTATTTGCCTCTTTGTATATTCGGACCAGTTACCGTGTTCGAATATGGCTTCCATCATGGGCAGTTCCCCATTCTGGGCTGCCAGGTGGATGGGGTAGTACATGTTGTCTAGCTGGATCTCCATCGCACTGGCTCCTGAAACCACACAAATGAACAACGTCACACGAAACTATAAAAAAGCGGGGTCGAGATGCTCTTTCTATGTTTCCACTTTCCAAGACGAGAACATGTCAGTGCTCGAACTAGAAAGAATAGCCGAGACAAGGGTCTCGGTCGAACACAAATTCAAACATACCTCAACCTCGACATCTGCTAATAAAAAAACACTCTTTTTGAAGATTATAGAAGCGTGATTATACCTGTGATGATTTTTCGTAAAGTTATGGGAGTTTGAAAATTGATAATTTGGCCAACTCGGGATAATTAGCTCACGATATATTGCGTTCTTATCACTATTTTGCGTAAGCGACGGATTAAGGCTTTCAAAATTTAGTTTCAAACTGTCTGCACTCGTAAGCGTTCCAAATTCATTTGAGGCCAATTCTTATTGATCATGTTAAATCGACTCAAATGAGAGCGCTTTCATCTGATATTGGTAGTACAAAACTTATCCTTTATTTAAAAATCTTGAAACCAAAAGTTTTTCCGGGACAGTTAAGGGGCAGCTGGACCATTCAGAGCATTGCGTTGATATACGAGCAGTATGTGGGTTATTATTAATAATGTTATCATTAATTTTAATATCATCACAAAGAAGAAACTGCGAAAGATTTGCGCTCTGGATGCTCTTTCTTCAGACAATTGTCGACTTTTTACTACACATTTTGACTGACTTTGGATTTGTTTTGGCTTAGAAAAAATTCGAAAAATGTTGAAGCAGGCTTTTCGTTATAACTGTTACAACAGTAGGAAAGAAAACTATCGCTTTTTTTGTATTACGTATAGGGTGAAGACTTTAAGAAACCTCAGAATTTCTTTCAATTTTTTTGAAAAATTTGTCACTTTTCAATTCAAACACTGCGCTATAGGCTTTAAAAAGACATCGAAACATTCAAGGAATTGCACAGAAAAGAGCAGTCATGTTATTACAAAATTATTTTAGATAAAAAAAGCGAGCGAATTTAAGTTTTTTTTTAAAAAAAACTTGGTCGCAAATAAAAGAACTCATTTGGTGTTGAAGTTTTTGTAAGCGTAATCATTTTAATGGCTTTTAATGCTGCACAATTTTTTGGCTGGATTTAGTTTTGCTCGGCAAAAAATTTGTTTCAGGAAAATGTATGGAATTTGTTGTTTTTCGTTCTTTTTTTTGCAAAACTTTGCAGAAATTTTCGCAGAAATTTCAATATTCTTAAAAGAAAGCGGCATCAATTTTCAAAAAAGAAATACTATAAAAAAAAGTGACTTTTCTTTTATGTGCCTGCATTTGTCAGTAATCTCTTTTCTTTTAACTTCACAAGCTGCGGCCTTTGAAACTTTCAGTCGGGGCGTTTTTGGCATAATTGTTTGGCATAATTGTCTCAAAAAACAAATTCACAAATCTGAGATGATGGTTTCAGTCAAAAAAACATTTATGGGGTCTCCTTTCCCAACCAGCAAATCCCTAATTTTTTTGCAATTTGATACAAAATTGAGGCCTAAAACAAGCACATTCTGGTTTTTAAAACTCAATTTTCTCAAATCTACACTGCCAAAACGGAAACTAAGGGTATAACTGAAGGAAAAAATCGGTTATGCAAATCTTATCTACGAAAAGGCTATGCTATGCGTACTGAAAAGAAATATGGCCTCAGGAAGTGTCCATTTTTTGATATTTTGCCTGTTTTTGGGAAGTTACTCTTTCTTGTCAAAAACTAACCTGCTGATTCTGAGTTTGATAGTTCATTGAAGCTATTTAAATTTTCTATGCGTAATCTGTTGTACCCTGTTTTTTGTACAAAGCTGATATGGATTTTGGAAGTAATTCCTTTAAAAATTTACCGTTTTTATTAGAAGTTTTGTCACTCTTTTTGTAAAATGCTAGCTAAATCTGATAATAAATTTCCAATTTAAAAAATCAGGGCGCAAAAACATGAAATCTTTTTATTTTTTTGAAATCTTTTTATTTCGAAAAATGCCTAGTCAAGTCTCAGATAAATTTTCGATTGCAAGAGTGAATAGTTGTTTTCTCCTTTAAAAACAGTCAATTTCCTACATCAGCAGAGAAAAACTAGAGTTAAGCTAAAAGTATATTAGATTAGGTAGATACAGCATTAGCTGAGCCACTGGTCCAGCATTGGCTGGGCGAGATATTAAAATCCGGAACTTATAAATATATATATTTTTTTTGGTTTAATTTTTGCGGGCAACTCATTGGCAAATTGGTAGAAACTGTAACTGCTTTATTGGAGGCTAGTGTTAATAAAATTACGAGCGGCCGTGGAATACGTTTGTGAACGTGATACTCCCAATCTCGACAAAAAATTTTCAAGGTGTTTTTAATCTTTTCCTTATTTCACTTTGTTTGCCTGTTTAGACCTTTTGTGGCCTTTTCCTCGCTTGTGGTTGCGAAGCGCAGCTTCGACTCTAATTGGTTTTAGGCAAAAAATACAGAGAAGTTCACTGCAAATGGCACTTTGATAAGTTTAGTGCTGCCTGGGAGATCATGCCAATTGATCAACAGATCCGTTTTCAGGTCTTTTCTCAAGGGGAAGTGTGTATTGTATGCTTATGGCGCGGGTCGAAAAGCTAGCTCAGCGTTTCGACTGCCTGCCCGACCAAATTTAGGTTTGTAACGAACAAGATTGAGTTTATTTTAAAATTTGTGACAGATCCACGCCCTATCTCGTTCAAGAATTCCCAGCCGCCGAGCATTGATCTCGTGATCGACATTGAAACATAAAGTGAGCATCTTGACGACCCAATTAAATTAGTTATTAATTAAGATCTCTCTGTTTGTTTTTCATTTTCAGATCCTCTGTCATCTTCATAATTCAAGGTTAGACGCCGGTGCTACGAAAAATGACGCCATCGAATTCAAATCACACATTCAACATTCAGGGAGATGTGTCGAGTGCTTTTTGACTTACCATGTTCCAGAAGAACTTTTGCAGCCGGCAGTTGGTTGCTGGACACTGCTATATGCAGTGCCGTTTCCATGGACTTGTTTCGCATTCCCAGAAACTAAAACAGCGAAATAGATGATAGTCTATAGTTAATGCCAAATTGTTGGCTATATCTTTTCGGTCAACTATTTAGAGCGAAGTAAGCTAACCTAAAATTGCTCATTTTTACGTCGGGTTTCATCTTATAATTAGTAGCAAAAAGTTAAAACAAACAAAAATAATTGAAAAGAGCAATCTGCCAATTTTGAGCGATTTGTAAATGCAAAATTGAACTTCAGGTGACATTGAGACATCATTTCTGTCTGAAAATTAGCTTTTGCACGCAAAAGTTTTCTGAAATAGATCATCTGATCTTTCTAATTAAATTTGTCTGTTCCAACTTTTTGAAATTCTCTATGTATTACTGATTTCTACATGTAAAAACCGTGTCCAAAAAGTTAATTAACCTAAATTGCTATTATCTTTGACCGATTAAATTGTTGCTCAAGGTCACCGATATTGTCAACAATTTGGAATTAACTATAAAAAAGAGAACGGATGACTAAAATCTAGGATTTTCTAGAGAGGGGCAGATCTAGGATTTTCTAGAGGGGCGGCGGATCTAGGATTTTTCAGTGGGGTGGTGGGTGTAGGATTTTCTAGATGGGTGGCTGATCTAGGATTTTCTAGAGGGGTGGCGGATCTATGATTTTCTAGAGGGGTGGCGGATCTAGGATTTTCTAGAGGTTTGGCGGATCTAGGATCTTCTAGGGTAGTGGCGGATCTAGGATTTTCTAGAGGAGTGGCGGATCTAGGCCTTTCTAAAGGGGTGACGGATCTAGGATTTTCTAGAGGGGTGGCGGATCTAGGATTTTCTAGAGGTTTGGCGGATCTAGGATCTTCTAGGGTAGTGGCGGATCTAGGATTTTCTAGAGGAGTGCCGGATCTAGGATTTTCTAGAGGGGTGGCGGATCTAGGATTTTCTAGAGGGGTGGCAGATCTAGGATTTTCTAGAGGGGTGGCGGATTTAGGATTTTCTAGAGGGGTGGCGGATCTAGGATTTTTTAGAGGGGCGGCGGATCTAAGATTTTCTAGAGGGGTGGCGGATTTAGGATTTTCTAGAGGGGTGGCGGATCTAGGATTTTTTAGAGGGGCGGCGGATCTAAGATTTTCTAGAGGGGTGTCCGTTCTAGGATTTTGTAGAGGGGTGGCGGATCTAGAATCTTCTCAAAAATTTTCATGACTTCTTCTTTAGGTTGAGCTTAGCACTAAAAAGACGGTGTTTTGGCCAAATTTTCTGCACAGGTGAAAAAGCCGTTTTAGGGCCCTTTTTCGAAAATTTTGGCAAAGAAATCATCCCTCAAATTTATAAAATATTGGTATGCCTGAGTTCTAGACTATTTTTGAAAATGACTTCTTACGACTATGGTCGGAACTTGCTCAGTAACCTGCTATCCTTTTTCATATGTGGAAATTGTATGTAAACTTCTTCTCAAAGTACTGGGGTTGCGTTTGAAACCAAACAGAAGCGAAAAAGACCCTTTTGTCATAAAATTTTTGTCAATAAATTTTTGTGAAATGCAAAAGAATATCAATGGCACTTTTTTCAATTTTGAATGAATAATTTTTTTTATAGTTATGACCATTCAGCAGTAAAACACTTGATTTTCCAGCTTGGCTTGTTTAACATGAGTCAACGATGAGAAAACATTCAGTGGCAGTTATATTCAAGAATCAAGTCACCTGATTTTTTTCAATGGATCATCGTAAAAACAATCACCTTAAAACTTCTAACTTTCCAAATTTTGCAAACTTATCACTTCGGTTTTCAAACAAAGATACTTATGTTACCTTTGCATTTTATCAACAAAGTTACAAATAATTGTACAACTTTAAATCAAAATTTTTGCGCATATTTCTAGAAAATTAGTACCCTCAATCCAAAAAAGATAGCTGCTTTTTATGGGAACTTCAAAACAACCAATTTCAACAAATTTTTAGCACACTTTTGCATTTACCCTTTTATTATACGCTTTTTGGAAAAGTTTGAAGAGGGAGTTTTTTATGCTACTTGTACAAAACTTGCTATTTTGAACCAGAAATTATTCAAATTTTGTCGTTTGTACCGAGATCAAAGCAAATAAATGGTCTAGTTGAAAATATGGGGTTTTCTCATATAATAGGAGGTTAAATGCTGTTGACCTAGTTTGTTTTATAAATCTTTGATTTTTAAAGCATTGTAAAAAAGATCAAAAACTTTTTTATACTAGATTTTGTTCTAAATTTCGATTGAAGCAAATTGAATATTGTACTTTGACAAATATCTTTTCTTACTTAACACATCGTGCGGGGGGATGGTTTTTGAAAACAAATTCCAAAAAATAAACTTTTCTTTTTTCGTTTTTTTTTGTTGTTTTTTTGATGTTTTTAAAGCGAACCCAATTCCACTGACGTTAATTACAGTCGAGCAATCAGGGCTTCACCTTGATACGAGCAGTCCTGATTTTTTTAAAGAAAGGAATCGCATATAGAATAGATATTTAATTTTCAAATCAAGGCATCGATATCGTTAAGTTAGTTAGAACATTTTCTTGCAAAATTTTTCCATGACAGTTTGATATTAATTTTCATGGAACTTTCAGAGCTGCCAGCAACGATTCATAATTGTCAGTCAAAATCTAGATTGAAGCAAATTTTCGATTGAGTAATTCTCCAAAACTAAAATCTAAAAGAAGCTGCAATATGCAAGCAAAACTGAAACAACTACAAACTATATACAAATACATTCCAGCAGTTTCTTACCTCTTTCATTTTGGCTTCAACTCTCTGCGTTAAAATTAATTCAAATTTAGTTTAAAAATTAGAAGGTAATTAAGATGATTTCATCAATTCAGAGCTTACATATATATAGGAGCTTGCCATGGTATGTGAATCGCTACATGAATATTTGAATATAATAGTCGCTACCTGGTTGGGCAAAAGCACAGAATGCAAATCTCATAATCCAATTTACATCAGCAAACTTTTGTCATCTTTCCAATCATCCCGTTTTTGAATAAGTTTTTTTTCTACAAAACTAAAACAGATTTGATCCGATCTGAAAATTTGCCCTGGAACAAAAAAAGTTCTTCTTCAAATGGATGCGGGTTAAATGGGGGTTCTGATCATGGCAAAAAGACGGATTGCGCGAAAACTTCAACCAACAATCAATCTTCTTTGAACAGTCCAAAACTGACTGACTTTCCAGCTTATTTCTATAAGATTTTTGAATAGTGAATTCTGATTGGGCAGAATAAGTTTTGGGGCGTTCGATCTCTCTGGCGCACGGGAATCAACCCCCTCCCCGCAAACTGGTTGATATGGCGTAAAGGTGGTCTTACGTAGCTGAGGAGTTGTTTGGATCGGTTCTTGACTGCCTCTAGAAGCATAGTGACAATCTCGACCTTCTCACTCGCGGCTGCCAAGTGGAGAGCGGTGCTGCCCTCTCCATCCACCAGTCTAAACGACCGAGACATAGAAAACGGCGCCAACAACGTAAGTAGTGAACAATGTCCAACCCATTACAGAAAATGGTTAATTAGCGCTAGAGTTTTCTAACGAGAATTCCATTGGATCTCTTCAAACTTTTTCTCCCCTCTTTTGGATTTGTTACTAAGTACAAAATTCACATATGCTTAACCATTGATTTTTTAGGGGTGGCAATTCGTTGCTAGATACCCTAACTTGAGAGTTTTAAATTTAGAACCAAGTGAAGATCATTTCCCCTAAACTGCCTGAAGGAGGAGGATTTTTGATACTTCGCCCGGAAAGAACCAGGCGAAGTATCAAAAAACAGAAAATAAGCGCTTGAACCAATCAAAAATGGCGTTTTTTGTGAAAAAAATTGAAAAAATGTGCTTTTTCTAGAAGCTTATGAATAATGATTTATATGAATGATGATTAATGAATAATCATCTTTATAAATATAAATACATGTCCATATTGTCTATATAAAAAGTAACCTCTTTGTTACATATTTAAGTAAATTGTAAGACATTCATCTTGAATTTAACTCTACGCCAGCGCCACTGGCGTCATCTAGTGGTCATGCTAATTATGAAAATGAACTTGGCCTTTATAAATAATTACGTAATAATATAATACAAATACTTCAAACATAGCCTCCACTACACTCTCTCTTCGACAATTTGACACCAATATAATATGCTTATCAATTTTACTGCGTGAAAGTTATATAGTTTCAAAAATTCCGTTAAGTTTATGTCGGTAGTTCCACTGGTACTATAATGCGAGTCTAATCTCCTTTACTTGATCCCTCTCAGAGAAAATTTTTCCAGCTCTTCAAGAATTTACCGTTGATCTTCATCTGTCATGCTGATAGCAGCAAATTTATCTGCGATGTCCAATTCATCGGTTGCCATTGAACCACTAGATTCGCCACTGATATTTGCCAATTCCGCTATTCCGATGATGACAAGACTCATTACTGCTATCGGTCAACCTTGGGACATCATCGGGTCTGTTTCCTTGTTCGCGTCCTTTTTCGTAGATACTGTTTGCTCCAAACAAGCCTCCGGATCTACTGGTGCTGCTGGCTCCTGTGGTACAACATGCCGGTCAACTTATGCCCTGGGACTCGTAATTTGATTTCTTTGCGTCATCGGTGCGGAAACACCTGACTCCGTATCGATACGCTACAAAAATTCAAGAACTGCTCGGTCTTTGCCTCTCTCGTTCTTCGAGTTTCAGCTTTCGCGGGTGTCTACTAAATTTCCCAAAGCTGGCTTTTTGCTACTGTTCCGGATTTGAATCTTCAGTCCTTGGTACAACGCCTGAACTGGAAATCCATCAATCATGTTTTTTAGAATATTCGTAACCAAATTACTCCTTTAGAGTGCTTAACGATCATGCATAACTTGTCCAGTACATTAGCGAAATGGCCAGATACTTTTTCGTCAAAATCTGATGTGTCGTCCTGTCTAAAATCTTCGCCCCAATAGGATCTACACATTTCGCGGTCGAAGTATGCATCTTCTGCGTTGCGCCTCTTCGCGCTAGGGATCTTCTTCGGGGTACCATTTTGACCCCTGGCACATCTCCAACAGTATGTGCCCCACACCTGGTTCAACTGAACGTTTTCAGTATCGACAGCCCGGGTACTGCCTCAGGAATTTCGTTACAATCCTCCTCCGAATCGTTTCGTGTGGATACTACATTGAATGTTAGTTGCTCAGCTGTTATCCCATTCGTGAAAAGCCATTCGCCCAGAAATGTAGTTCGTTTACGTTCTCTTAGTGGTATGGTATTATGTCTTAGTTCCGGTTTTGGTGTCCTAATGAGGCTACTTGTGGTCGGAAAACCGGTCAACTGCTGGAAAAATTGACTTTAACGACTTCCGATATTGTCATGGATTCCTTCCATTCTTCTTCCGGTTTTCTTGGAGATGAGCTCTGTAGCACTTCCATATCAGTCGAGCTATGCTCCCATCCTTGGCTCTTTTTATGAATCTTCAGCGAATGATATCACCAAAACGCTATCTGATGAATCTTGTTCTGCACTTTGCCTTTTGTCGACGTCCATCTTAACGGCGCTCGTGGTTCAAAATCTCTGAAGTGCCTGGTTGGGTAGCTCAGTGGCAGAAGAGGTCACATGTGGAATTGTTGAGCACAGTTGATTTAACTGGGGTAAGTCCATCGGATGAGCTATCGATGTTGATAGGATTTTGAGCCGTACCGCTACTTCAGGTAACTGCCTCCTCGCCGTCCATACTCTCCTGCGTAGATTGTACCGCAGCTTCCTTTCGTGGATCCTTGTCGCCTGTACTGATTGCTCTTGCCTTTGGCATTGCTGGTTGGCCTGAACTATCTAGTCCCCAATCATCTGATGGCTTGTCGCCTTGGTCGGTTCTAAAAGCCCTCGGTATTGCATCAAAAAATCTTGGATTACTTAAGTAGTCAATCTCGTCGTTACTTCGACGGCAGGAAATATTTCGAGAGTCCAGCTATACACGTTTATAAATTTTTTGGTTCTTCCAATGTAATAAGTTTTGTTATTTCATTTTCTTGAATGATTGGCTTTATGTTCTTACCAGCTTTGATGCACTCAGCACAATTGGCTGCTGTTAACTGTATCTGCCTGTTCATGTGCGGCCACCGGAAATAATTGCTCGCCACGTATCTCATCTTGAACTTTTCCGAATGAATGGAGGCGAACCATAATCGGAGCTCTCAACTGAGGTGCAGCATCATTCGCTCTTTGAGGAAGAGTGTATCATTTGAAGTATGTAATTTATTCACATGGTGTGCAAAGTAAGGGCCAAGATTCTTAATATCCTCAAAAAGAAGCGTTTTTAACGCTTAGACGACGATATCTTAATTTCATCCGCTTAAGTTTTTTTTGCGACAAAAAGTTCCGTCAATCGACTTTTAAAATTAATCGATGTTTTGTTTTGATTTTTTTTCACGGTCCTCGCGCCCCCGGCTGTGAGTTGACTCCGAGACTTCTGCCGCACTTAAGCGAGTATTAATTCCACAATTTCCGCGGTGTTCAGTTCGCCTGTAATTTTCTGCGCAAGTTTTGATCAGATGGCACTTTTGCAACGAGTCAATTAGTTTCTTTGCTGCACATTCCTTCTGATGACGTGATTCCCTTTCTGTTTTTTCTCTGGTCATTGCAGCTTTTTGACTTTTGAATTCATCGCCGCTTGTGTTAAACGACGGTGCAAATAGACGACTAGCCTTGTTAATCTGTGCTACAAAAAATGTTTTGTCCAACTCCGATAATTTGGGAGCTGTACCGACCAGATGCCTAGATATTTAGTCAACGAGCGCAATATTTTCCCCTGATATAAGCTCTATTTCATTGTCAATTGGCAATAAATATAAACGTTCGACCCATCTTACTGAATGAGTTTGAGCATTTTTTGTATCTTTTCATCTGAATTACATGTTAACAACGTTTTGTGGTCAGGTGCAATCTTAAATGGAATACCAAACTGATAGTTTTGATTGTGAGGCTCAGCCGAAACGATGTCTAGCAGTCACTTTTCGTTTATGCTATATTTTGATTCGGCTGCATTTAAATTCTGGACGCGTACGATACTGGTTTCCAATCCCCGGCTTGTACTTGTTCCAGAACCGACCCTAGAACTTGTTTCGATGCGTCACAACTCACTCGCTACTTTCATTCCCCATGATTTGATGATTCTGAACAAAAGCACAGACCATTTCACTGGTTCTAGGAAACGCCCTACTTTGTGCATCTTCCAATTCAAAACAGGAATGTTTTGTCATGAGATCCCGAATTGGTTCTTTAGTATCAGGTATATTAGAGATAAATCTAATAAAATGATTAATTGACCCTATTAACAATCAAATATCTAGGGCTGTTTCGTTTTAGCAATCGAGTCGATTTTTTCGCTCAACTGGAACTGTAACTTCATTTGAAAGTTTATAACACAACCACTCAATTTCTTTCTAGGAAAAAGTACATTTACTTGCAAAAAAAGTACATTTTGCAGCGGCATTGTTCTCATCCAACACATTGAAAACATTTCTATCTTATCGAATATCGTCCAGGTAGACATGCAATCCCGGGAAATGGCCTTGCATTGAGTCGATAACTCTTTGAATTTAATTAGGCATATCACCTTATCCAAAAAACCGGTCCTAAAGCAATTTTTGTTTGTTATGTTCCCCCGACGATGTTGAAACAGCACTGTCTACTAAATTTTGCGCTCTGTGGAATTTGCGAACTTGCGTTTTTCAAGTCGAATTAAGAGAACCAATTTGAGTTAGCAGTATTACCGCTAGTCGCTAATTTAACCCTGCCCACGAGTTCATTCATGTTCGGCGTTTGATACCGATTCCGATATATCTTTCTTTTTATGAGTTTCGAGTTTAGGGCCACTTTCACCGTTCCGTCATGTGTAGCTGTAACGACCGTTGGTAGTATAAAGACATCCTCGTTTACTTGCCTAGTTTTTCGATGTACCCTTCCTTCAACAATATTTCTATCGCTGCCTCAACCTTTGATAAAACGTGGATCGGCACCCATTTTCCCTTAACTTGGACGGGTCGCAACGGTTCGTGGAAAATCGTTCTGGCACCGCATTTTTTAAGTGCGCTTTTTCGTTCGAAAAGGACTTTGAACTCCCTCAAATTAGATTTGATGATGTACGTTCGTTATACTGGCGAATCTTGAATTTCTGATGTACTCACCATCCCACTAACGTCGTGAAATGACCGCGTCACAGACTTCTGCCTCACTTCAATGCCGAGTACTGTTAAGATAATATTCCCAATTTTTTCTCCTTGACGGCCCTCAAAGTATGTAGTTCAGTTCCCTTGGCGATCCAGACTTGGGATTCAAAATCCGCAAAAATGCTTCAAATAATCTTGATGACGTCATCCGTCGCACTTTAGAAAAAACTCCATATCTCGGCTGGTACTGATTTTTCTGAAAAAAATCTATCCTTTATCTTCAGCTCATGTAATTTT